AAAGAGGTTTTGATAACCGCTCATATACCCCAAACCCGTAAACCCTAAACCCCTGAACCCTAAACCCCCAAAAGTAGGTAAAATAATGGCCCAAAACCCATAAAAGGCTGTTATTCTACATATTTTGGGGCCCAGGTAAACCCTAAACCCTAAAACCCCGAAACCCTAAACCTTATAAACCTTAATCCCCTCGACCCCCAAACCGGTAAACCCCCAAAAGGGTGGGCGACTGAAGACCCGAAACCCGGCCAAGCTGTCAACTCTGAGGATGCAATGAGCCGAAAAGGTTTAGGGGGTTTAGGGTCTATGGGGTTTAGGGGTGTAGGGGTTGAGGGTTTAGGGTTTAGAGTCTTATATCTAGGTTTAGGGCCTACCTGGACCACAAAAGTATGTAGAACAATAGCCTTTTCATGGGTTTTGAGCCAATTATTTTACTTTTGTAGGTTTAGGTAGGCCTTGAACCAGGGGTCCGTTGATATGAATCCTTAAAGCGCGAAACCGGCGGGTGGCAGGTTTAACAGATGGTCATCAAGACAGGGTTGAGAATTTAGGTTTAAGGCTTAGCCCCTCGTGTATTCTTGACGGGTTCAGGATGGATAATGTAGGAACCCGATTAAGAAACCCTGCCCCTATAACCCCAAAATAACAGGATTCATATCAGGAGCCCTAATAAAGACCCAGGGTTTCTTAGTGAGGTTTCTAGACTAGGTTGACGGTTATAGGGGGGGTTTAGGGTTTAGGGTTTAAGGGTTCCGGGCTCCAGTTTACGAGGGGAATAGCCGGTTTATTGACGAAAGGGAGGATATGGCCCCTAGCTGACTACGGTTGATGATATAAATCCTGCATTTCCCATAATAAGGAATATGAATATACCATAATCCCCATAGCTTAGGATACTTAAGGTGATGCGGGATTTCGATCATCAAACGTAAGTCTGCGGCCGTTTGTTGGCAAGGAGTCGGTATAGCATAGTACGCCAAGGTCCGAGGACCCTAAACTATGGGAATGATGGTATGCTCCTTAAAATGGGTAATGCAGGATTTCTATCATCAGCCGCATAAATCCTGCATTCCCCATAGTAAGGAATATACGGAATATACCATAATTCCCATAGTTTGGGGTCCTCAAGGTAATGCAGGATTTAGATCATCAACAGTAGTAGTTGGCATTTGGGGGTTTACGGGGTGGTGTAGTGTAGCCTGGCACCCCTTAAGGACGACATGACCCTTAAAAGTAGGGGCCTAGATAGCCTTATACTATGCATCCCTATATGGTAATATGAACCTTAGACCCGTTTAGGGTTAATTTCGTCTTTAAGGCCTTGGAACCGGGGCACACAGCGAGAGATTTGGGCGCAGGTGGTTTGCCCAAGCGCTGCGAGCACCGCCTGGGGTCATGGCGGATAAATCCTTTGAAACCACCGCCACTTGGGCCAAACCCTATATAGGGTTATAGGGTTTAGGGTTTCGGGGTTTAGGGCTTAGGGTATAATATACCCTAAGCCCTAAACCCCTATAACCCTAAACCCCTAAACCCTAAAGCCCGAAACCCTTAACCTGAAACCCCTCGACCCCCCAAATGCAGGATTCAGACTTTGGCCTCTTGATGCTTGCAATGCCAGGCGAGGTTTTGCCTTTTGGGCTTCAGGCTACAAGATTTGGTTTTTGAGGAAAAAGTTCAACTCCTCAACAAGAGCCTGCGGATTTGGCAGACGCCTGGGCCTTCAATCACAAGCAGCCCCATCCTGTTGGATGGCCTATTCATATCTGTATGTTTCAAGAGTCTGTGTTACATAGAAATGCATTTCGCTAGCTAGCTAGATAGACAGATAGCAGATAAATAGATAGGTGCATAGATAGATAACATAGGTCTCCAGTGACTCAAGTGCCTGCAACGTTCTCACACCACTGTGTCACACCACCTAAAACTGTAGAACAGGCCCCACGGCTGCAAACCTTAAACCATAAATCAACTTGTACAAGCGAATAACTCAGGAAATCGATGAGTTTTGGAGTCATAGCTGGCACGGCCGGAAATGGAACAAAGCTCTGACGGCCATGTACCTGAAGAACGGCCACTTCGGCGTGAGGCTGCAGGTTTAATATGTAGGAAACCCTAAACCCTAAACGAGCCTTAATCATTATAGGATGGGGCTCCTGTTCAGTGCCCTAATCCCCGAAACCTTAAGCAGTGAACTGTAGTATAGTGGCCCAAATATGGCTCATGAGATACCTTAGGGAGGGTGCTACTAGGCAACTTGGTTTAGAGTTTGGGCGGGGTTAGGGTTTAATCCTGCTTTCCTGCGGAGGGTCCCTAAACCCTAAACACCAAACGGACTTCGAGGATTCAGGGTTTGCCCTTCAGGGTTCGGGTTTAGGGTTTAGGGTCTTGATGGGAGTCGCATGTCTCGGTCCCAAACCCTACCTTAATCCCAAATAACCTATATGAAGAAGACATATTAACAAGGACCCCAAAAAGGTAGGTTCTTTAGGGTCCAGGTAAACGTTAAACCCGCGCGGGTCTCAACCCGACGCGAAATCCAAGATTCTAAGATCCCACTTCCATCCGCCGATCCTGAAATCCTCCCGATTCAACTAGCCCAAAGAGTCCTAAGTACCTATGGGGGATAATTGCCCAAATCATAATAACACTTCCTATTTTAGAAACCCTACATTCTACTATACAGAGGTATTTAGGACGCTTTGGGTAGGTAGGCCTTGGTTCATAAACCCCCTTTACCGCAGGACTAGAAAAGGGCTCCTGCTTCTGCGGTCCTTCAAAGAAAAGGGGAGGTTATTGATCAGGTGTCTACATAACGCACCAGGAAAATGACAACCGCACAATCCTTAAACTAACCTCAAGAGAGGCATTGTAGAAGGAACCCATAGTTAGAGTAATCCTAAACGCTAAAACAAAACCCTCAACCCATAGCAATCCCTCAGTGAATCCAGACCCAGGAATGCTCGCAACAGCAGTGGCGACCTTTGTAAACATTCTCTTGGCAGTCCTCGTGGGTACAAGGATCTTACCGCCACGATTTTCGGAGCAGCTCCTCGTCGCTGGGTTTAGGGTTTTAGGGTTTATGGTTTAGGGTTTAGAGTTTAGGGTTTAGGGTTTAGGCAGATGGGTTTACAAACAAGAAAAAGCCGGTGGATATCTCTTTTTTTTCGGGCGCCCAGCTACTTGTGGCTTTCCTGTTTATGTTTATGAGTTAGGACTCGTCCGGCTAGAGTTATCAGTTGGAGCCTTATATAAGATCCTGAACTCCCCCCAAGTCCTAAACTCTTAAACCCAAACCCTAAACCCTAACTTCGCCCTGAAGGTCCTAGAAGTCAGCCCCTGGAATTCCTGTAAAAGGCGGAAGTATAGACTAGCCATCGTCGGGGGATTTCGTGCTTCATTTTGTATTCTCCATGAGTTCTCTCCAAACCCTAAGCCCTAAACCCTAAACCAAGGCCGGACTACCCTTACGACTCGTGGTGGTGCAGCGGCATCGGCTCCTTATTATACTGCATCGTGTTTGTCTTCTGGCGACCGGGGCAAAAGGTCTTTGTGGATGTGATGTGCATCAACCAGGAGAGCGAGGACGAGAAGGTCAAAGCGATTCTGAGTATGGGGGCTTTGCTGAAGTGCTCGGAGAAGCTGCTGGTACTCTGGGATACGACATATTGTCATAGACTCTGGTGCCCGTGACTTTCTTTAGCAATGTCTTTCTGTTCGTCTAGTTCTGCTATTCCGAACAGGGAGGACGGAAGAAAGCATAGACAGAGATGTGTCTCACACTCACTTTTGTGTGTTCACCTGAGGTTCTGCAGGTGTGTGAGGTAACGCATATGTGATTATCCCAAAATAGGGGACCCCGCCAGAGATTCAAAATCGAAATCCCAAAAGTTTAAGCTATCAGGCTCAACAAAGTCCCAACGACTTACAGAGTATAGTCTTTTGGGCCCTAAACCCTAAACCCTAATCCCTAAACCCTAAACCGTCAGAAGCGGTAAAACTGTGAGTCTTCAGAGCCTTTTCGGGTTACGGAAACCTCTAGGCTTGTAACACCTTCCCTTAAGAACGAAATGACCCTTCAAAGTAGGGGCCCTATGGCCTTATACTATGAATCCCTATATGGTATATGAACCTTAAACCCTTTTAGGGTTCATGTCGTCCTGAAGGTCCTATAGCTCATTATGTTGTAAGACCCCTCCGGGTTTCGGGTTTAGGGCTTTAGGGTTTAGGGTGTTTGGGGTGTTAGAGTGTTAGGTGTCGTGCCGGTTAGCGCGCCGTACCTTAGAATACACTACTCAGAGCAAGCCAAACCAAACCCAGCCAACACCAAGCCGAGTCAACAGCAAAAGAAATCAAGATACATGAGCATGCGGGGTGTCCAGGCTCACATCAGACAGTGGGATGCTGTTTGCATGACCAGTGGATGCAGTCGGCACATGTGTGGGAGGCCATGGCGAAGGGGATGTGCTGGGCCGAAGGCCTTCTCATAGAAACATATCGGTTAAGAAAAAGGAAGAAAAATCGGGTGCCGGGAATCTGCCGGCACGGGGTCCAACACCCTCCTGCAGGGTGCCTCTCGCGTGAGGGTTTCAAGCCTTCAAGAATACACCGAGTCTGCCAACCGGAATCCCCGCCTTTTGTGGAAGAGGCTCCCGACGGTTGATGATATAAATCCTGCATGACCCATAATAAGGAAGATACCATAATTCCCATAGTTTAGGGTTCTTAAGGTAATGCAGGACTTAGATCATCAGCCGTAGCACCGGGTGCTCTGCTATGCCGCACAAGGATGGGGACTTCAAAGTCTACACCATAGGCCCCTAAGTAGTTCCCTTTTATGGTTTATAATTTAGAATGCTATAAGGTAGTCCCCAAAAGGAACTACTTGGGGGTCTATGGATTTAAATCGTCGACCTGCATTGCAATTGCAACAGGATTCAAGGGAAACTTGGTCAGGGAATTGGCCCTAAACCCTAAACCCTAAACCACGAGCTTTAACTTTTTAGGGTTTGCATGTCGTGAAGCCCCGAAACTGATGTTTCACGACACTTAACACCTAAACCCCCCAAAAGTAGGTAAACAAATGGCCCAAAACCCATAAAAAAAAGGCTGTTATTCTACATACTTTTGGGGTCCAGGCAAGGATCATGGAGACGTAAGAAGGGAACCCAGACGGCCCAATGACCCAGATTGTAGCCTCAATGATAGGGTTACGGGTTTATACTAACACGTAGGGGCCGTAATAGTTAGAATAGGGTTTTGGGGGTTCCTTGTTATAACTATAGTAGAACATACCATATTCTAACTATTAAGGCCCCCTATATTGACCTCAATGATAATGCATGGATTTGGGTGCCTAAACCCTAAACCCTACGCCGCTATTTCGGCACTTCGACCTGATCAGGGGTTCTAAGTACCTCAATTGGCTGTCTATGGTTTAGGGTTTAGGGTTTACTTAGCTCCCCAATACCCAACCTTTCAACTTTTTGGGCTCTTATAGTTTAGTAGTAATCTGAAAGTTTAACCTTTTATTTCCCTAGCTTATTTGGGGAAGTAAGTTTAGGGCATTGTAAGACTTACCGTGGTGTCTAAGTTCCACAGCCCGTGAAGCAGGCATGGGCCCTCTTTTGAAGTATCATAGGGGCCTTGATAATTATAAAGGGTTCTGGGGCCCATTATACTATGATTAGAATATGGAACCCCCAAATTATCGTATGGGTAATTAATTTAGGTCCCTACATCACTTACTGAGGTGTGTCTTTGAGCTGGCGGGCTATTTGCACAGCCGTGGTACCACGAGGAAGCCGAATCTTGAGATCCGCCCGACAATCCTCGGCCCGTGGCCTGAGAGCTATTCAGGAGCTCTGGAGGGTACGGTTTAGGAATGATACTACGGTTGATGATATAAATCCTGCATTACCCATAATAAGGAATATACCATAATTCCCATAGTTTGGGGTCCTTAAGGTCATGCAGGATTTCGATCATCAACAGTAGGTCGGCCTTTGGGACATTCTATATTTTCCTTATTGGGCCTTAAGAGAATCTTATTTACGAACATTCTTCAGAGGCTTTGAGGGACCAACCTAGGATAGAAGGGGTACAGGGTTGTGGGGTTTGGGGTTCAGGGTTCAGGGTTTAAACCCTAAACCCTAAACCCTAGGGTTCAGGGTCTGGGATTGAGGGTTTGGGGTGTGTCGGGCTTAGCGATTAGGGTCAAGTCCAAGGCCCTCTTTGTACCCTCAATTAGGGGTATGTGGTCCCAAATTAAGGGCATTTAGGGTCCAAAAGAAAGGGTGGATGGAGGGTCTAGGGTCTTGTAGGAAAGCAAACTGTATGAGCAGGAGAGGGATGACTGATGAAAACCCATGGAAAAATAGCGGGCTCTTTCAGAACTCTGACTAAAATCCCTAAACCCTACACCCTAACCCTACCCCCTTCCACGCCCCTCCTTCAAGAACGCGAAGCCCAGGTGCTTGGTATCACTGCCGCTAGCGCTCTCTTGTGTCGTGGTGCTTCTGCTTGTCATCCCATGGGCCCATTTGGAGGACCCTGGGTCCCTCCTTGGAGGGTCGGGGGACTTAGTAACTAATCATTTTATGGACTTATAAGTATCATAACCCCAGTTAGGATCCCTTTTAGGGTACTTATAACTCTATTTCATATCTACTTACTAAGTCCCCCGACCCTCCAGGTACACCCTCAACCTTTCAGAACCCCTAAACTAGGTAGGCCTTTGGTATATTTTATATTTTCCCTCATTGGGCTTAAGAGGACCCTATTTACTAATATATTTTTCAGAGGCTTTAAAGGGGCAACCAGTAAACCTTTAAAAAACCAAAGACCTTATAAACCCAAAACACGAATACACCTATAAGCTCTATACTTACCCTAAACCTTAAAAAACAAAGACCTTATAAACCCAAAAACACTAAGACCCTCCTTGTAAGCCCTATAGTTAGCCTAAAAAACCCCATGTTGGCAAAGAGGTTCAGGGCCCGGCTTCATGCCAGAAAGCTCGGATGTCGTTGGATCAGGAAACCCCAACCCCCAAAACAAAAACCCTAAACCTCTGGTTCAGGGTTTATAAATCCCGGACTCTGATCCCTAGATCCGCAATCCGAACCCCTAAATCCTGAAGTCTACTTGCAGCAGCACAAAAGCCTTTTTTTTTTTGTTGGGGGGGGGGGGGGTTCTGATTATGGGTTCTATCTGTAGTTGCTTTAACAACGTGCGTCTTTTGTGCCACAGGTACACCCTACAACTTATCCCAAAACCCTAGACCCTAAAGCTTATCCACTGGACCCAAAGACGAAGCAGGTCATTGCCCCAGGAGTCTGGCCAAGCTGATCCCTTTCGCGACAACCGCCACGCATCCCAAGCCATGGCAAACCAAAGACGGGTCAGAGACGGTTTAGGGTTTAGGGTCAGAGCTCCAAAGAACCGAACCCGAAGCAGAAACAACGCGGGGCTTTTGAGTGTAAGATTGCTAAATTGAATCGGGTTGCTGGGTATAACATTCCAGGGCGTGTGCTTGTGTTTTGTCTTGTTCGCTAGTGAGCCTTTCATTGAGACGCCCTCCACCCCAAACCCTAATCCCCTATACCCCTAAACCCCGAAACCCTTTTTCCCCAAACATTTCATGCTATGCGTGGAGGGTCAAGCAGCTATTGTATAGGCTGGTAAGTAGCATACCCCAATTAGAGTCCCCTTTAGGGTACTTTTAACTCTACAAAACAGAAACTACTTACTAAGTGCTCCGACCCTCCCCTAAGCCCTAAACCCCAAACCCCTAAACCCTAAACCCTAAGCCCTAAGCCCCAAAACCCTAAACCTCTAAACCCTAAACCCCAACCCCTGTACCCTAAACCCTAAGCCCTAAGCCCCAAGCCCCTAAACCGTTCAACGGAGGAGTCAGGCCTACAACTTCCAGTTTTTTACAGCTTGTGGCCTTTGCTGCCTGAAAGCTCGGATTTAGGATTCGTTTTGTTGGGTGTCCAAAGGGCTGACGGCTTGGGAGTTTCGGGTTTAGGGTTCATTTTGATATGTTGGGTTTTGCAAGGGCGTTTGCAAGGGTTCGACGGTGGAACGTTTGGGGTTATGAGGGCTTGGCAAGGGTTTAAGGGTTCAAGTTGTTTGGGGTGATAAGGGCCCTGTAAGGGTTTAGGGGTCAAGATTCTGCTTGGAAGGTTTTTGTTTGATGGCGCGGGTTCGCTGCACAAGAAATTAATATAGGGGCCTTAATAGTTAGAATAGGGTTTTGGGGCCCATTATACTATAATCATAATAAGGAGCCCCCCAAAACCCTATTCTAATTTAAA